AGGCAACTGGGTTGATTGATTGTGAGATCGGAGTTACTGGTGAGTAGAAGAAAAAGAATAGAGTACATCAAAGCCAGTGGAAAAATGCAGTGAGATCATATCGTTAGTCTCCCACAATATTCCAACGCTTTGATATTATAAAATGATGCAATGAGAGTATTTCAATCTTTTATATCCAAAAAATTATTTCTATCTTTTACATCTATCTTTTGCTTCCATAAAATGGAAAGTAGTATAGAGAGTTGGCGTTTTTAAAAGATCAATTTTTCAAAGTGGTTTCGTACCGCTATATCCCATACCACTAGCTCGACATATCTCAGTTCGTGCCTTGCGGAAGTCTCTGTTCAGGGCGCCACCCTGGCAATGTGAAAGAAGCGAATATTTATGCACACAAGGACCATGTGCATCGAACACAACAAAGAACCGGACATGTAATCTATTACTTCCACTGCGGAGAAGCATCTCATTGCTCCAGTTTTGACTTAAATTGGCTCATGTAGTAGCGTATGATCGCTGTCGTTAGAAAAAATTGAGATTTGAAGCTGATATATGGCAAAAACTAACAGTACAAGATTACAAGTATCTCTTACTTTATTGCAAAATAGATTATTGTAAAACGAACACAACACCAATGGCAGGATAAACCAGACAATTATCTGTGCGAAACTTCTTCACCACCCAAAGTTATCCTCTCATTTACCTCATACAAGGCATCACTCACCTTCAACTCAGCTTTGCGGATGAAAATGCAGGACTTAACATCAAGGCTAGTGGCGTGCAACCCAGCCACTAACCTATCCAAGGGTGGGTTGCAAATGGCTATGTGTGGAAAGCTTTGGGGGTGGGGGAGGGGGGTAGGTTATTGGACCTCTCGACAAAAATGGCATTTTTCTCTTAAGCTGGAAGGGGCTTGTCTTATTCATCTCGGTTGACAACTTGCAATCCAGGATTGGCAGTCAGGCTTGTACCCAGTCACACCTCAGCCACTGCGCTAACACTCCATCGCTGGAGGGTGGCTGAGTTTCAAAAGCATACCTTTGGGGGAGAGGATTCTATTAACTTTGCAAAAAACCGATAACTAGGTTTCCGCTTGAAGTCAGGCACGTGTCTTTTGACTGTGATCAAGGTTTCTATTATGGAGGGGGGGAGGGGTGTGGTGACGGAAAAATAAAAGTCGGGAGTGCAGTTTTCACATCATTGCTACCATTGTCAGGATACCAGGAATTTTCGAAAATAATCGATAGCCTTGAGATATATCTTCTTTTCCGACTCCAAAGAAAAATGAAACAAGAAATGGATTGAGGAAATTCTGATAGTTCAGAGAGTGACAGAGACAGAATGCATAAACTAATTGAAATATTTAATCGCTTCTTTATCAACTTCATTTCGAGACTTTCTCAACGATATTCGCTTAGTCTCAGCGAGTAGAATAGAATTTTAGAAATCATTGCGAATTATCCCAAAATAAAAGAAGAAACA